CAAAACTCTACTTCTACTCTCTTCTTTAGCCAACCGGTGTTCATACTTTGCTTTGTTTGCCGGGTTCTTTGTTTAGGCCAGGTGCTTAAACAAAGAATCGTAGCACGTTTTATCCTAGGAAACCTAGGCTACAACGCTCCTAGCACTTGTGGGAGGTAGCAAATAAGGTAATAAGGAAAAGAACAATCTGTTCAAACTCGTGCTAACCTCTACTCAAATTGTTCCACCTTTTCCTTCCCAATTTTTCTGTTTTTTCCATAGAATAATAATCTTTCTGTAGGATTATTATTTTGAGATTTTTCCACCTTATTACCTAACAAATCATACGCTTATCATATTCTATAAATTAATCGAGTTAATTAATTCGGATCTCCAGATTAATTAAATCCATCATACTAAAGATTAGAATGAATTTTAATAAAAAAAATTGTTTCTTTATTCGGTCGTAAACAAGTAATTAAAAATAAATAAATAAATAATTTTGATTGTCTATTGCAACAAATAAATGAATTGAAATCTAAGCTTAATTAGAAAAAACACGTGGTTGCATTTGAATAAGTAGAAGTTTGAATGAAAAAGGCATACATATTTATCTCAAAATCATTTGTGTTTAGGCTTCATGATCATTAAATTTTTATTTAGACTAAAACAATGAAACGTGGTGGTTGGAGACTTTTGTATCTTATTATCAGATTTGATATCATTACTGGGTTTGTTTGCTTACGTTTGCTATTCTACTATTGGATTCAAAATCTTTAGTAATCATAAAACACATTACCGTTATTATCCCTTACTTTTGAACAATGGGTTCAAACATGAGGAAAAAATAAAAAGAAAAAAGTAAAAAGGTCATTGCTCATGCATTTAATATGGAACTTTAATACACACGCACATACGTATGTGTATATATATGTATTATGTCGGATTTTTCATAATGACTTGTTGGGGGTCTCCCACACTCGTAGATTGACTATTCCTAATTACAATACTTGGTAATTGTAATGAGTTTAAATAGAAGAAGTCTCTTTCATTTTGTAGTAAATAGGAATTGCAATCAAAGTAATTAATTAATTAATTGATCAACCAGATACGATTTTCTCACATGTCCAAGGCAACAGTGGTGAAAACGACAGTTACCTTGGTAACTGTTGAAAAAATAGTATAAAATGACATTTTAAGTGGCTATTTTGTGGTACAAATATTAGTGGAGTCCACTTCTGATTTGGGTCGGGTCAAAGTGGATTCAGGTTCTTCGTAGTGAGATGAAGAGATTGATTGTACGCTCAAAACGTATAATGGGTGAATGAGAAATTGATTCTCAAAGTAGATCCATTTGAGTTGGAAAAATGAAGGGGAAAGATTTTAAAATAGCCTTTGTCCCACATTGGTTTAGGAAGTGAGTTTGCACCACTATTTATACAAGAGTCTTTCTAAGATTAATTAAATTGTATAATATAGATGCTCTCTTTCTCGCGCAGGGCAATCTCAGCTAGCAATTTGAATGCTATTAATTTCTCCCCGGAAACCTACGCTAATGTTGGCTTGAAAATCAGTGGTCTATCCCTAAGGTGTAGGTACGTATTAATATGCCAAGTGAATTGGTTGAAAGGTTAGACACTTAGACAAGTTCAAGAGGTGATCCCTATGGGGTGTAGGTACGTATTAATATGCCAAGTGAATTGGTTGAAAGGTTAGACAAGTTCAAGAGGTGATAAGAAAAGATACCATTTTTCATAACAATTTTCGGTCTTAAAGATTTTTGATCGAGAAAGTTTTTATTGTGAAGGAGAACGAGTCATAATTGAGGTTTGGAAACATTATAGCTTAGCTTCCTCTACCGAAACTACATTTCGAATGGTTTATCCGGCTCATTGTATAATGTGTACTACAAGTTTCAGACACTTAAAGGAGTTGTGTGGATCTTTAATTTAGACCATAAGTATAAAAGTGAAGATGTTGGGACAAAGAACTTTGTCGTCAACCAATGATTATTACAAGATGATATATTTCAAAATTGTTGTAAATCATGTTGAAGAGATCCAGATGATTTTCAATGAGATACGTGGTGAATGAATGGTTGTGAGTAAAACTTTTCAAGTCAAATCTATTATCCCTCGACAAGGAATGACTTTAAGAATTAACTGTACCATAAGCAGAAGGAAATAAATCTAGCTAGAATAGTTGATCATATGCCTTAGAATTGAGGAGAATTAAAGGAGAGTCACTTTATGCCACTAGACCACAAGGTCATTGACATCTACTATTCTATCTACTATCTACTATACTAATAAGAGCCCAAGAGAGTTAGGCCTATAATGGGTAGAAAAAATGGCGGTCACAGATTTTAATAAAATAAATGGCTCAGATTAATTAAAAGATTGATCAGATTTAAATTTTACACTAAAATTTCCTAAAATACCCGCACACCGTTACTAATTCCGTTAAAATTTTAAAAATTGCCGTTAGTTCACCGTTAACTTACTCATTGATTTCAATAAAAAAAAAAAAAAAAAGGTCTTAGGTTCGAACCTCATCCCAATCAAAGTTGGCATAATTAGTACTCTATTTTACTCTTATTAAATTATATATAAATAATAATTTAGTAGTTACAACAAAAAATAATAAATATGCATTTCTTTAATTTAGAATTATGTGTCCATGCCTTTATTCAAAAAAAAAAATTATTCATTATCAATCAATTAAATAAGAGAAATAATTTTATTAGTTATATTATCTTTATTTTTCTTCAATATAAAAATTCTTTATATTCGAATTTATTAATTGATTATATTCGCTACATTATCCTTACAATGTCTTTATTCAGTGAAAATTTTTTTATTAATTATCAATAAATTAATTAAAAGAAATATTTTCATTAGTTATATTGTCTTTATTTTTCTCAAATGTAAAAATTTTTACATTCAAATTCATCAATTGATTATATTCACTACATTATCTATTATCTTTTTTGTGCACTATTTTTCTAATTAAATATCAAAGTTATAATACAAAATAATGCTATATATTTATTTACCAAGTATTTTATTAATAACATGAAAAAATTAAAAATATAGAATTAATAAAGCCAACCATATTAACTACTTGAGAGATTTTGTGACAACGAGAGTATTCAAATCACACAACAAATTGAAGTGAGAACTACCTCGCAATGTCCTTAATTGTTTGACAATCAGCAGTTAGCGGTTAGCGTTAGCGGATTATACTAGCGGATTTGACCACCGAATTTATTTAATTATTAATATTGGGTAGAAAAAATGACCGCCAAATTATTAAATCAAATGAATGGTTCATATTGTTCAGGTTTTAATTTTTTCTTTTAAGATTTTCTAATTTATCATTAATTATATGATTATCCATTTAACTTTTCCGTTAATTCACCGTTAGTCTAATTCTAATATTAAAGTCTAATATAGAATTATAACTACAACATTAATCTAATTCTAATATTAAAGTCTTAATAGAACTTAACCACAAATCCTAATGTCGGAATCTCCTCAAACAATATTAGTATATATTTAATATTTTATGTCCTAATTTTTATTTGTTCTCCCTTATGTCCCGTATTTGGTTTCAACCATACCTATACAATTATAATCAATCTTGACTATATTATCTTCCATTTGTAAACTTAGAATTACCTATTTAACCCGCACGGGCTTAGCTCAATGGTTTAGTGGGTAGTATTTGGGAGAAGAGACGAAGGTTTGAACCTCGGCGGCGGCAGTGCGGGAATTATGTCTAAAGTGGACAGATTCCTTGTGCGTATCAGCATTTGGCCCTGTCTGCTGAACCAGTCACCGTGATTTACAACTTCCCACAATGCTCTGCCGGGTCGGAGTGTGGGGGGCCCTTGGGGTTGGGGACTCAACCTTTGGGAGAAGAATTACCTATTTAAATATGCAAATTCAACCTTCAATTATCTATGCATGAACAATTTCAATATAATTCTGCCTTAATATACTTTAAAGTACTTATTTTAAAAAAAAAACATTGGACATTATCCCAATCGCGCAATGCGCGTAAAAAACTAGTACAACATATAATTATAATATAATATTGTAAAATGAATATTGTAATATAATACTATAAAATGAATATTGTATCATAATATTCTAATATTGTAAAATGAATGTTGTATTATAATACAACATACAAAGTAATTATCTGTTACCACTTTTTTGGTCATTGATAACCATTTTTGAATCAACAACAATTCTCAAAAATAAGTACGATTAGAGATTGTAATTCAAATCTATTTCTAACTGATGGAGATTACAATAGATTAAAAGATAATAACGCTAAAAGCTCTTGACTAATAGACTAGTCTAAGTCTACTAATTCTACACTACAAAAATAATAACTTATAATATACAAGATAAAATAACAAATAATAACATCTATTTACATATCCCCTCAAACACAAGGTTGGTGAGACACGACATTGAGCTTATCGCGAAGAGCAGCAAACCTCGGACTTGGCAACGGCTTAGTAAGGATGTCCGCTAACTGATCCTTGGTAGACACGTAGTTGACGACAAATTCCCCGGATGCGACCTTGTCTCGGACAAAATGGTAGTCGATTTCCACGTGCTTCGTCCGTGCATGAAAGACAGGACTGGCGCAGAGATAGGTTTCCCCCAGATTATCACACCACAGGGTAGGCGGCTGATCGGAGTGTAGTCCGAGCTCACGCATGACTCAGACAATCCACGTTACCTCAGCGGAAACATTCGCCAAGGCCTTGTACTCAGCTTCAGTAGATGATCTGGCCACCGTCCGTTGATTCCTGGACAGCCAAGAAACTAGATTGCTACTATATCTAGAAAGACGGCATATCCACTGGTGCTCTTTCTGTCTACCGGGCATCCTGCCCAGTCGGAGTCAGAGAAGGCATGAATAGCGGTGGTGGAGGAGGCCCTCAAGCTTAAGTCGTAGTCGAGCGTGCCCTTTATATAGCGCAGCACCCGTTTAACCAACCCCTAGTGATCAGTAGTTGGAGAGTGCATGAACTGGCATAAGCGGTTGACAGCATAGGAGAGGTCTGGCCGGGTGATCGTCAGATACTGTAGGGCCCCAACAATACGACGGTATTGTGTCGGATTCTCATAGGGAGTCTCGGTCGGAGTGACTGGTTGCGTGACGGCCGCGGGTGTGCTGAGTGGCTTGCAATCCACCATGCCAGCCCGATTCAGTAAGTCCGTCATATAGCGCCGTTGTGAGAGTATGTAGCCATCGTCTGTCGGAATGGTCTTAATGCCCAAGAAGAATCCCGGTTTGCCAAGGTCGCAGATTTTGAACGTGGAAGACAGGCGGTTGAGAAAAGTTGTAATCAAAGCGGCATCGTTTCCCAACATAATAATATTGTCGACATAGACAAGCAAAAACACTCGGGGAAGATCATGTGGTATAATGAAACATGGAGACATCCGTCTTAGATGGTGTAAAACATGCAAGGAGAAGAAACTCATGAAGCCTCTTAAACTAGGCCCGTGGTGCCTGTTTGAGACCATAGAGAGAGCGTTGCAGATGACAGACGTGATCAGGATGGGTTGGATCTTCGTATCCCAGTGGTTGTTTGATATAGACTGTCTCAGCTAGATAGCCATTTAGAAACGCATTGTGTACGTCTAACTGGCGTAGAGTCCAACTGTGAGAGACTGCAAGAGAAAAAAGCAACCGTACAGTAGTCGGTTTTACAACCGGACTGAAGGTATCAAAGAAATCCTCGCTTGCTACCTGGTTGGAGCCCTTTGGCAAACAGGCGGGCTTTATAGCGTTCAACTGAACCTTCAGCGGTCCGCTTGGTGCGAAACACCCATTTGCACCCAATGATATTCATGTGCGGCTCTGGTGGAACAAGCCGCCAAGTGCTGTTGTGAATGAGTGCATTAAACTCCTGGTCCATAGCCTCACGCCATTGCGGGTGTCCTACAGCCTGGGAGTAACAAGTTGGATCAGTGACTGCAGTTAGGGCATGAAATTGCTCGTTTGTGCCTCCAGTCATGTGACGGTGGCGCATTACGTGACCTCGGTCTTGTGGTTGACCATGAGTTGTCACACGTTGAACTGTAACAGGTGCGAGCCCTTCAATAGCTAGAGGGGCGGGGTCATGCGCGAGCGGGGTGGGCTCAGACCTGGTGTTGACTGGGCCTTGACGTGGCGAAGTATCCGCCAGGGTGGGCCGTGGTATGATGGGCCCGGAAGCCCACAGCATGGGCTGGGGCGTCGTGGTGGATTCCGTCTGGCTTGTGGAAAACGGAAACACTGTCTCGTCGAACCGGACATGACGACAGATGTAGGTTTTCCCACTTGTCAGATCCATGCATCTGTATCCCCTAAAGGACGGAGGGTAACCTAGGAAGACACATTGGGCCAAGCGGTACTCTATCTTGTGCCGATTGTATGGCCGAAGATAGGGATAACACCGGCACCCAAAGACACGTAGAAAGGTGTATGCCGGGGGGGGTGTTTATATAGACGGAGTAAGGACTCTCAAAGTTTCGTACCGAAGTTGGTAGGTAATTAATTAGGCACGTAGCGGTTTCAAAGGCGTAGTCCCAATATTGTAGGGGTACTAAGCCTTCGGCTAGTAGAGCGAGGCCGGTTTCAATGATATGTCTGTTCCGGCGTTCAACCCTGCCATTTTGCTCGGGTGTGTAAGCACATGACTGACGGTGGTTAATACCCAGTGTTTGGAATATGGTACATAATTTTCGGTACTCACCCCCTAAATATGAATGAATGGACTTGATAAAACGCTAAAATTGGCGCTCTACCAACACACGAAACGACTCGAATATTTTATATATGTCTAATTTCACCCGTAATGGGTAAAACCAGCAGAAACGCGAGTAGTCATCTACATATAGCAGAAAATAATGGTAGCCATTGGCCGACATTACAGGTGCAGGACCCCAGATATCAGTACATATCAAATCTAGAACATTATTGCTAGAATTTTCTATACTATCTAATTTAAAACGTGACGACTTGCCAAGGTGACAAGCCGTGCAGGACATTGTGGTGTTGGCTTTATTTGGTAGAACAGGACAACTCTGAAGAACATGACGTTGGACAGCACTGTGCGGGTGACCTAGCCTGCGATGCCACACATCTAGAGTGGTGCGGGAACTGACATACGCAACGAGACTTCGGGTGACCGGATGCTTGTACAAACCCCCGAATGTTGGCCCCTTAAGAAGAATTGCCCTGGTTTTGGAATCCTTCACAATAAAACAATTGTTATGAAACTCGAAATAAACACCATTTTCGTTAGTGAATTTATTTATAGATAACAGGGGTACAGATAAATTTGGGACATGTAAGACATTGGACAGAGACAATGATTTTGACACAGATGGGATCGACGCATGACCGACTCGTGAAATAGCCAAACTTGCGCCATTACCGACTTGCAGCACATCGGGGCCAGTGTACACATCGGAGTGAGTCAGCATTCCGACGTCGGGGGTCGCATGCGCCGTTGCGCCGGTGTCCGGATACCAATCGTCTGCCTGAGCTGCCGAAGCCGCCGCTGGACTGTCGCCGAAAGTAGCCATATGAGCCTGAGTCGGAGGTTGGGTTGTATAGGTTTGTAGCAGTAGATCGCCGTGTGTTTTTGCGACCGGCATATTTGACATCTCGGTGCCCCACGGCCGTAGCGCCTGCCGCCGCGACTCTGCCCGGAACAGCCGCCACGACCTCCACGCTAGTGGTTCGAACCGCGACCTCGACTACCTTCATCGTTCGTTGTACGCCCGCCGTTCGACGCCCGGCCTGCATACATGGCGGTGTGAGCACCACCACTCCCAACGTCGGCCATCGCGGGGTAATCATCCGACACGATGAACTCCTGAGCTTGGAGAAAATCTGCCAACTGGGTAAGGAGATGGGTTAACCGGTGACCGTGAGCGTGGTGGCGATGGACCTGAGCTCCGGGCGGAGGCCCCAGAACACGTATAAGTTCTGCTCCGCCATGGAAAGCAGGCGGCCGGCCTGTGCTAAAGCCTCCACAAGGAGCTCCGCCCGTCCTAGGTATTCGGTGATCGACGCATTGCCCTGACGAAGGGGCTGGAACTGCCCCAACAGATTGAGACAACGGGCATGCGACGATGATCCAAGCGTCGTGGTGATGGAACACCATACCTCTGCAGCGATATTCCGGTCGACGGCGAGATGAAGAACCTCGTTGGACATGGAGGATATCAGCAGAGAGAGGATCGATTGATCCTGTTGCACCCACAATTTGTGTGCCGAATTGGGGAGAGGTCCCGAGGCAGTGCCGGCAGTCGCGGATTCACCGGAAGGAGCGGCATCGACGGTCGGCGGCGGGCAGGTCGTGCTGCCGTCGACAAATCCCAGGAGGTCCTGGCCTCGTAGGAATGGGATTAGTTGCGTTCGCCAAAAGATGAAGTTTCGGGAGGTTAGCTTCATTGAGACATAATGATGGGCGGAGGCACGGGGATTTGGGGTGGCCGGAGAGGAGAACCGGTGGCGGAAACCGTTCTCTCGGATGAATTAACCGACATTTAGGGAGGAGGAGGCGAGGGGTTTTGCGGTGGTGTACGGTGGAGAGAGAGAGGATCGGAAGCCTAGCTGATACCAGATTAGAGATTGTAATTCAAATCTATTTCTAACTGATGGAGATTACAATAGATTAAAAGATAATAACACTAAAAGCTCCTGACTAATAGACTAGTCTAAGTCTACTAATTCTACACCACACAAATAATAACTTATAATATACAAGATAAAATAACAAATAATAACATCTATTTACAAGTACAATTATTCTGACTAAAGTGTTGTCACAATAAAATTATTAATTGCAACGATTTTAATTGTCACTAGATCATTTTTTGTAATAATATATTTAGTCACAGAATGTTACTTTATTTTGACCTCTATTATTATCACTCAAATAATACTTTTAGTGTAAGTAAACCTTGTCACAAACTTTCAAAAAAAAAAAACCTTGTCACAAAAGTCTTGAGTAATTGTGACAAGTTTTTAAAAGTCGTCACTATTACAATAGTGACGGAAGATATAATGACAACATGTGATGACGTTAAAATTTGGTCACTAATTTTATTAGTGAGCAAAATTGATAATTTCAATGATAACGTGTATTGTTACTAAATGTAAAACTTCTTGTGCTGTATATTAAAGTTACGATATTTTTACCCAAGATCATTTACGTAAATGTATCGGTTTTTTTTTTTTAGAATAAATTAATTATCAAACGTGAACATGCATGTCTGCCAACTTTTATAAAATATATACTAAAACTTGATACTCTCCGTGGCATGAGATTAAGAATTAATAAAGCAAACAGTATTAGAATCTACATGCACTTAGTTTAAGTATATTCACTTTTGTGATAGGATACATGCATGCACAATGCTGCAACAACTTTGCTGCCCAAGCAAGGAAGCAAAACCTCTGGTAGAGGACTACATACAGTTCTTGCAATTTGCCATTAAACTTTTTTTAAAGAAATCTTTTGAGAGCGAGGTATCTAGTAGTTGGATAACATCACTTTTATTATTATAAATTGAAGGCCACAGGTTCAAGTCTCATCCTAATTAAGAATGTTAACATAAGCATGTTGAAAAGGTATTATAGATAGAGTTAGATTGTAGTCTCCAAAAAATTATCTCTTTGGAGATAATAATATGAAATATATAACTCAATTGTCATTGTTACAATTATAAACGCTTAGCAAATATAATTGTTAAAGCCTCAATTATAATTACTAATACTCCCACCGTTTAAAATGATTGCATGACACATATAAATTCTAAGGGGGGTATTCAATCATGACTTTAGTTTTAAAGACTTAACTTTAAAAGTTTGGAGGTATTCAATTTGAACTTTTAGAGAGTCTTTAAAAGTTAGGCGGTATTCAATCAAGATTTTTAAAAAGTCTTTCAAAATCGTGTGGTATTCGATTGTAGACTTTTAATTTTAAGACTTTGGTAGACTTTTCCTTCTCAAATATAAATAGTTGAAATCCAACCATCAACCCCAAGATTTCAAAATTTTCTTTCTAACAACATTGAATGATTTCTCTCTCTATTTAAACTCTATTTTTTTCTCCCTATTTAAACTTTATAAACCTATCTAAATTTAATAAAATTATTTTTCTCTTCATTATCCTATATTTTCCTCATACCTAAACTCTACCATTGTTTCTCTCTCCTGAATTTTACTAAGTTTATGTCTACTAAATATCATGTATATGCAAAGGAAAATAAAACTTAGGCAAAAGTTTGTGTCTGGTCAAAACGAAAATGTAATACTGAAAAATATAATACTAATCAGAAATAAAATATTTGTTACTTAATTATAAAAGAAAATGTAATATTTTTATATTTTGATTTAAAAGAGTACATTTTTTTATAAAAGTATTAAACTTTTCATTATA